CGACCCTCGATGCGTTCTCCAGTCAGGTTGTCAAGCAATTTGCGTAACATGCTGTTCTCCATGAATTTCCAAATAAAATGAGGAATGTAGAAGAGAATTGCTTGGAACAGAAGCATGAATGGAACCCATTGATAATAAGCGTGGTACACCTTCTTTTCGTTTGGTTGACCTGGGGAAAAGCGCCGGGAAAATTTCGTTGGTGAATATCAATTTCAGGATTTTCAGGACCGTTCCCCAAGGAACAAAAGCAATTGATTCCAGCCTTTTCAAAAAATAAAACTCATTCTTGATTATTGGGCTAAAAATCGCAGAATCGATTTCTTTTTTTATTGAACAACCGGAAACCCTGTTGTCATGTCCATATTATGAATAATTATGTCAAGAAAATTACCATCACAGTATATACAGAATAGGGAAGTTTTCTAGAAGTAGAAACAAATAGAATGAGAGTTGAACATTGAGGACTAGTACACCAATGAATTATGCTGAAATTATAGTGTTGCAACCTACTGTCAATGGTATTCATTACATCCGTAATGACTGGAAAAGCATGGGAAACGGATGATTCTGTTTTTCTTCGTGATCATCAGGTTCGCTTTCCACTTGAGCATTTTTTTGCATAATTCGTATCCTTCAACTCACAAAAAACTTTTTTATTGAATTTCCAATCGAACTCACCCAGGCCAAGAGATCGTATTGAATAATATTAAAGCTCCGCGTTGAATGATTTTATTGCTGGAACCATTTGCCATAACACGGGCGCTGATCAAACCTTTTCAAATGCTGTAGGTAACATTTTTAGGATCTTTCAATAAGATAAAAATTAGGAATTGACAATTGCAGATCTTTATTTAAGGTATACTGTGATGCATTCTCATGAATTAAGTGACGAATTCTTTGAAATTATTGGAATTGGTTTCCAATGGCTCTCATTCTGCAGACTCGAAGGTTGTTCGAGGAAGGCTATATTTGCCAGCATAAAAAGTTATCAGTGATTGTAATTTTGCACAAAAACAATGTTCAGGTCGCCGGTTGATGCTGCTAATATATTGTATATAACATAAATATATACATATTTTTTGAATTACGAAGATTTCTTTTGCAAACTCTTATTATGCTCCAATTCTAACCCGCGCTAAAGGAAGAATTAGGCGGCGGCAGTCCTAAACGCAAAATAAATAAAAAATCCTATTCTTGGCAAATTTCGGCACGGACAAGTTTGCATAGCAGCTGTTGTTCCTGGCTTGTTCTTTTTTTGCGTCCTTCTATAATATTTTCCTACCTTTTTATTCCAGTAAACGGAAGAAAAGGTCCTTAAGAGTGCTGCACTGTACAGTATTATTCACATTCGAGATTCAAACGCATGGATGTTTTTCCTCAAATGTTTTTATGAATACTGCGTCCCATACAACATCACACTCTTATATTTTTATTGGGATCGAGGAAGGTTTTGTTTTTATATGATGCATCATTGCATTCTTAAATTTCGAAGTACAGTACTCAGCATGAAATCCCATGCATGAACTGTATATACAGTATAAGGAGAATCAAACCTGGTCCAACCCCCGGCTGGGCAACACCGACTCCGGTTTCTTTGTCAAGTTCCGAGGGCAGTGTGTAAGTCGAACTGATCCAACAGTAAGTCGTGACAGCGTTGTTAGCTGCGCCTCCCTTGGAAATGCATTCTATCGTTTTGCCGATGTAGTCGTTGATGACGACGAGGATGCAACAGAGCATTAAAAACACGACAGTCGCACGATAGTGAAGCTTGTTCACGGTTGTGTCGAACCGAACTTTGTTGGTGCTGGACACCTTCACGTAAGGCTTCACATCCGCAAACGCCGACAACATAATTGCGGCTTCTTATTTATTCGTTTCGACCTGATGCAAAATAAGTCACACATATATGTGTTATAAGAGTTATCCACATGCAGTATTTTCTTTTCCCATTATCAAAAGAATCAATCGCCAAACAGAGACGAAGCTAGTGAATTTGCTTTTTTTTTAATGAATTTGTCAACCTGAAAACTATACACAGTACATTACTGTATATGCATGACCACAATAACCAGTCCATCTCAGCCAGAGAAGTTGAACGCCAAATTTCGAGGATGAATGAATTTGCTTTATTTTTTCTTGAGCTTCTTTAGATTTTGGAGTGTTTTCTAGAACACTATCTAGAAGGAATTACATTTTTCTACTTGATGACTAGAGAAAAGTACTGAAAAAAGGCCAGAGAAAAATGTAGTATGACTCTGAAAAAGTGTCTTTCATTCCATCGTGGTTTTTAAATATTGAAAATACTACATTGTGAAGCATTCTTTCAGCAAAAAGTTTTGACTTCAGTGAGTAGAACGGAGGAGAAGTTTATTCTTGAGCGAGAATAAGTTCAAGCTGTTTAGATACTTGAGAAGTATTTTAGGTTTTGATCTGGAATTTTCTCAGCACATTTAATTTAAGCCTTTCTGGTCAGAAGGCTCTATAGACTGAATCTAAGCATGGGAAGACAGAGCCGTCCTCTATGTTGACAAGAAATAACGTGACTAGAAAAATATGGACTGGAGTGAAATCTGCGCCAGAGTTTCGTTCGAGGCTTGAAAAATTAATCTGTCTTTTGATTTTTGAAATAGAAAGGAAAAATGTGGAAACTGCGGAATTTTTTCACCAATGAAACAAACACAGTACCGAAAATATCTGTGGGTCATTCAATTTCAATTAGAGTTTCAAATTTTTTTTTGCCATTAATAAAATATGTGAAGTTAAATAATAAAACAGTTTCCATCAGCGTTTTCAAGGAGTATAAAGACTGATCTGAAAAATTGCACCGCCTTTTAAAATAATAAAAAATAGCTTTAGTCATCCTCAGGAAACATTTTTAAAGATTGAGACATGGCGGCCAAATTCATGCCGCGTCTTCTTTTGGGCGTGGCTTTTTGCAGGGCTATGAAATGTATCAATGTGTGGAAATACGTATAAGTATTGTACATACGTACATGCAACGCGGGTTCAAAATGTCATCGAGACACGTACTCAAAATATTAAAATCTTACAACTATTAAACTGTCGAATGATTTCGTCGTTCTGGCCATTTGATAAAAATACTTGAATTGGTAAATCGACGAGTTGTTTCATCACAGATGATAATGTATGTACTGTACAGGTAAATCAGCACGTAGACTCCACTTTTTTGGCTTGAAAAGTTCAGAAATGGTCGTGAAAAAATTTAAATTTCGCGGATATATCCCTGGCTATTAACCAACGTGAGCCAATACGTAAAAGTATTTTACAGTACATAAGCTTATGCCACATGTTCAAAATGTCCCTCAACACGTGTCGAAGAATAAAAATCTTACAAAATTATTGAACTGATGAAATTTTCCATCTTGAGATTTGAACGGTGGATGAGTGCAGATAAAAATACATGAACAGGTAAATCAGTATAGACTCCATGTTTCGGCTTGAACATTTCACAAAAGCACGTGGAAATATTAAATTTTAAAAATGTACCACTTAATGCTAATTGCTGACTGATCTTTGCACGGTGCGCAGCAAAAAAAAAGTTCTCCGAAATTCTTGATTTCACACGGATCATTTTGAAAGCATTTCGCGGCAGACTTGCGGAGTAGCGACTAAATAAAAGGTGTGGTATGAGATACTAGATAAGACCGACACTGTGAAAGTTTACACAGTTTTTCCGTCAGCCTGGATATGAGATTATGAGCCGACGGGATACTCGTGTTCTAGCATTCGTGGATACAATGCATGAGTTCATACGTGCGCAGACGTCGACGATGGCTTTCATCATTCCAAATTCGTCAATAACTCGGCAGCATGAAAATCTAGGGAAAGAAGTGACGAAAATAAAGCCCTCCATGTGCTGGTTTTCTGTGTCAAGAATTATTAAAGAGTCTGGATGATAAACCCGCTTATCTTTAATGTCAAATACTGTGCCGTGAAGCTTCTCGCTCATTTTCAGTACTTGATCAAAATGAGGACGTCTTACTATTCAAGAGACACCTGGGACAGAATTAAACTGAAAATCTTAAAAGTAATACCCTTTACGTATACAATTTTGTGTTTTGCACAGAAAAGATTATGAAAAAATTTCACTCGAATACAGTATCAAACTCCATCAATTCCGAGACACACTGTATTTTCCCCCTGGAAATTTGAAATGTTTTGGCCTTCGAATGTTTGACGCATTAATTTGCATTTCAGTCAATATTTTCAGAATAAGATCATTCCCTTGCTCCTACGGTTTATCGTTGCATTTACCAGCAGAAACTCCACATTTAAAAACGTGTCGCAAAATTTTAGAATACCGTTCAGCTGGAAACATTTCTGAGTTGCTTGATTATGCATGGAAAAGTTTTTCTTCGAAGCTATGTGTCACTCAGGATAAATTATGCACTATATCTGCGTACACATCTAAAACTGTATCGACGATCATGAAAAATAATTACATACTTTATTATGAATTTATGATATATAATGAAGTTCATTGAATTCAAATACATTTTAAAGATGTGTGTATCACGGATATCATTTTGAATATACAATACTGCACCATTGTTATCGTCATGGAGAACAATGATTCAAAAATCAAATTGGACAAGCATGAATACTTCAGCAGAATGAATTTAATTGCAAACAACGCCACATACATTTACGTATACAGATATACATTTACATTTCCAATAATTAAAAAAATTGATCATAATAAGGCAATTGATGGAAGGAAGACGTTAGATCTGCGGAATTCTTGGGAAACACCCCGCAATTGGCGGACAAGATCTGCTCGGTCTCGCGCAGCTTGGATTTGGCCGGTATCTGCACTGAGTTTCACTTGTGCACCTGATCACTTGACATTGATCCCGGAAATCTGCGAACATAACCAAGAAAAAAGAAAATGTTAGTATGGAAAACGCGATCATTAAAATGGGAGACCTTCAACACAACACTTGATGCCGATTCTCTCGAAAAGACTTTGAATCAAAGCGTTTTTTTTGGACTAGATCGAAATATTATGAAATAGTTTGAAAGCATATAGAATCGCTGATAAATCAAAACCGACTGCGATGCAAATGAATCAATTTACGTTCGTTAAACTCACCGGGAACGCAGACAGTAGCAAGCGGACAAAGGCGTAGACCGGTAATGCCGCGGTTGCAATTCGTCTCGTAGATGACACATGGAATGCCTCTGGGACAGGATCCGCGACTGCAGCGACTTCTAGGGTCCGGTTGGCGAAACGTCGGCGCAGTACAACGGCGGGAGCATCCCCGAGGGCAGCACAGTTGACCCTGCTGGCATTCTGCGTCGCTGAAGCAATCTTCCGGCGTCACGACACAAGCCGAGATGGTGTTATCGACTGGACACACTGGAGCCGGTTTTGCCGCAATTGGACCTGTGATAAAAAGTTAGTTGGATAATTGATTATACATAGACTTCAGTATTTTCATCCCTCCTACGGATCTGGGTTCTGATTGAGCCTGTTCTTTTTGGTGGAATGGACGTTTGGAGGCAAGCACGACGAGTGGTGATTCCAGATGAGAAAATCACCTGATTTTCCTAGCTGCTGTGTTTCCAAATTCGGGAAAATAAAAGTACTCAAGAAGATGCTCTTTTTGACAGTTTTTTCCTATGTTTAAATGCGGATCAAAATCAAACCTCGATGAAAGTCGAGTAAAAATATATTTATAGGCCACGAATTCTTACCCAAGTCCAACTGCCCGGCGAATATGGGAACTTCGTCGGAAGTAGCAAAGGAAGAATCACTTCGTCCTCGTTTCTTCGCTTCAGGATTTCCAGATAACATAGTCAAAGTCGCGATAACAAGTA